TTCATGTACAAGTTTTATATTTATCATATTGTCACAATAAAATGAAATTGTAGGATTAATCTTAATGAAGATTATTAGGATTAATAAATTATTTACATTTGATTACTCAGAAAAACTTTTCTTTGGAAAGTGCTTTTACATAACCTTCGAACCATCTCTCAGTTTTAGGAGCCATTCCCAAAATAAACCTCTTATTCTGCATTCCTTTCCACACAAAGAGTAACAGATGAGAGTACAAAGTGTTTATCTCAAAATGCTAGCGAGAAAATTTTAAAAGAAAATCGTTTCCACAAAGAGCGAATTATCTTTTGTATTCAACTGCAGTAAAACAAAATTTAACGGAAGATAAAAATGTACGATGTTTTGCATAGAACACTATCATGGCTTAAACATGTACACATCTAGTATCTCTTCACTGATTGCAAAGCCAATACAAGACGACCTTATATTCAGCCAAAAATCAATCATTATCTGATGCGACATAGCTGTTTGTTTTTCTAGCCATAGGATTCTAATATTTCTTCATTCATTTCATTCAGTCTTTCTAACAAAGCCGGATGTCAGTAAGAATTCAGACTTGCGATTTCATCGCATGCAAATCTGAAGTTTCTGAGTGTAGACTTCATTCCCGGAAGGAAGACATAGCAAAAGCATTACATTATTTATCAGATATTGTTCAGAACATTAAAAGTAATTAACACATCTGTTATTAAATAACTAAGATTCTGAAGGTTCCTCTCATTATGAAAAAAATTAGCGACCACCTAGTTGAATACACATAGTTCTCCATCTGAATATGTGCACCTGGGAAGCCAGAATTTTGAACTTCGATATTTTCTCAGTTTCATTTCTAGACAAAATACAGAAATATCTTTAATTCTATTTCTTGAATGAAGTTAAATAAAATCAACTTTATTCAAGAAAACGTATCTAGAACAACTCTAAAATCAGAATAAAGAAATTTTTATTCCACTTTGTTATCCCTAGAAAAATTATAATAGATTGTTTAAAAAATTATTTTTATAACCGCTGTTTATTTAATTTCATCGCTACGTTTTCGATTTTTATCGAAATCTACATGCTATTTAATAATAGTTCTGAAACATTTGTAGATGTGTCTTTTTTTTTTTTCATAATAATAGTTAAAGTAACGCCGTTATTTTAAATATGTAATGTTTTACATTCTTTAAGAAATAGTCTTCAGAATGATATATTATGTATTATATTCGAATATTAACATTGCCTTTCAAATAAATTCAGATGCTCAAAATAAATGTTTACACAAGATTGCTGATTTTTTTTTTTTTTTTTTTTTTTTTTTAAATCCCATTGCACTGCTGTGTGGCGTCTTCTAAATTTTTAACATTTTGCCTCTCCCAAATTCTTACATGTGGTGCGATCCCATCCACTGCGGCTCCAGCAGTACCCTCTAATGTTAGAATTTATATTAATATTCTGATTTATTACAGCTTCTCTTATATTATTTAACATTAATCCGGAATGTGTTAAAAAGTGCTGCAATATGACCAATACTCCGATGTTAAAAGCTAAATACACTAGCAAGAAAAAGTAAAGGAACAACCATAAAATGTGCTTTATGTTGTTGTTGTTGTCGTCTTGTCCATATTACAACCTCCGAAGAGAGGTTGGACTTCTATTTTCCGCCCCACTTTTGACGGAGAGCACCTCGGGGAGGGGATCCTAGGGGTCTCCCACCGCTCTCCTCACCCACCAATCCACACAAGAGAACTTTCGGCTCGCCGCATATTTAGAGTGCCGCCATACCGCACCGACACTATACATTTACAAATATCCATGTCTTACCCGAGATTCGAACCCGGGCCCTTCGGTACTGTAGTAGGCTTCCCTAACCACTATAACGTCTGGGCGACAGTGCTTTATGTATTGACTGATTGTTAATAGTATTGACTGATTTCTAATAAAAGGTAGCCGGCTGCTAGCTCAAGCTCATTATCACATAGTCAAGAAGTTTTAACTTCGCTACACAGAAATATGCACATTTTTGTTCCCGTTCTTTCAACTCTTGGAAATGAGAGCTAGAAAGTGCTTCAGATTCTGCTTTCAAGAACTGAGTAGTTGAATGAAATCTTTGCATGTGGAAGATGCAATGTGTTGATGAGAAGGCATCTGATGGATAGTGAGAAATTGCTTGTGATTGAGAGTATGGATGCAAGATAGACACTGACACAGGTTTGTAAATACCTGAAAGTGGCCAAAACGTGATGTTAAAAATCTAATGATGCATGCAGACAGGCAGGTCAAGGTCGAAAACGTGCCACATCAGGCTCTCAGAATCGATATTTGGCAAATATTTCTAAATAAAATAGAAACTGACCAGAATACAAGGAAGACCGCTGCAGCAACAGGAACACGAGTATCCAGATATACCGTAAGTGAGAGGCTGCATGCAATGAAACTCACGATTTTTTTTGTCCCAGTAACTCAGGTTGCGAAATGTGCCCCGGTTTGATGGTGCAGAAATCAAAATAATTGGAGTACCACTGACTTGAGTCGAATTCTCTTTAGTGATGAGTCTCTTTGGAGAGTGATTCTATTCGTCTTAAAATCCGGAGGGAGTAACCACATATGTACAATAAGCCTCAAAATATACGTAAAAGGGGTCGGTACAAAGGTGGCGGAATAAATAGCCTCACTGACTGCACGTTTTTACCAGTGCAACTATGAATGCTAAAACATACAGAGACTAATTTCTTGATCCTCATGCCAGGTAATTTAAGTGTGCAGTCGGTAGTATTCCTCCTAATAGACGATAATGCTTGTTTCCATCGAGCAACACTAGTGGCCAGTTATCTTGAGGGTGAAGGTTAGGTTAGGTTATTTAATTACGGCAAAGCCTCGAGGGCTATCTGCCTAAGGGGAGGGATGCCTTCGTAGAGGAGGAGGACTTTCTAAGGGAAACTGGCTCGTATACACGTTACACATGGGGAAAACCACGAGAACACCCATGCAGCCAGTCCGTTCGCGGGATTCGAACCTCGGACCGAACTACTAGTGTTCAGCGAATTTACAGCTCGGCCGCTGAGGGTGAAAGAATTTGGAGGATGGAGTGGCCCGCATATTTTCCGGATTTAAATTCGGCAGAACATGTGTGTGACACACCACAGCGCTGACTTTCATCACTGCAGGTCCTACCTAGCAACCTCCAAGAGAATTAATTCATCATAAATACACATTGTTACCGCAGAAACTGCTGGATAATCTAATGCACAGCATGGAATTAGTAGTAAAGCTTGCATTTGCTCAGGGGTGATTACAAATGTTATTAATTTTTGAGTCTCTAAAAACTTTTAACACCAACTTTTTCTTACCCCATTTCATATTACATTTCACAAGTTATTATTTAAATTAATTGTTCTGGTGAAACATGCATTTCTGCATTTGGAAGATACATTAGTCATGCAAAAAAATAAAGATCTTGGCCAAGTTCATGTTCTTAGTTACAAAATCATTATCAAGTTACACGAGTTCTTATAGTTGTTCCTTTAATTTTCTCAGCTATTGCATGTTTCTGCTTTTCCTGAAATGATGAGAGAGCTTAACTATATAACCGTTTATGGTATTCTATTTACTCCTGTATGAAACTAAAGGATGAAGTAGATTTTAAACGAAAAACTTTTAAGTTTGTCAATTTGATTCGTGTTGGTTAGTTGAAAATCAGTTTTACATGAAATTATTGTGATGTACGTATTGTGACTCTTAATATGGAAAACGGAAATTGTATAAACGCAACTTAATACACAATTGGTGCAACGAACTTCGCTCTCATGAAAGAATAATATGGAAATACATTCGAACCTCGCTATAACGTACCCAGCTTATATCGATCTACAGGATATAACGAACGAACCTTTTGGTCCTGTCGAGTTTTCTATACTGTTAATGTTATTTTATACTGCTATAGCGAATCTCCAAAAGTATTAAAATCGGATGTAATGAACTGTATGGATATCTTCATTCAAAGCGTTTCTGTATTTTACAGAATTAATGCGAGTTTTAAAGAAAAATTACTAACCCTGAAATTCATCTGCACTTAATATGCAAGATGTATATTCCAACCTGTAAAGGAAAACACCTTTACATTGTTCTTCTTTTATGTTCAACCTCACTTTTCACTGCGTTCTAAGCAATGACCGATTCTAAACAACGACCAAGCGACACGTACAACATCCATTCTAGAAGAACAGGAACACAAGAAGCAAATATTAAGACAACATGTGGTGTTCTTTGTATATAGTGTATGAGACTCTTATAGCAAAGAACGTAGTAAAGTTGTATATAGTGTATGAGACATTTAAAGCACAGAATGCGAGTGAGTTCTTTGCTTTTATTCCGCTCACATTTCATCCAAAAGGCTAAAACCGTAATGGAAATTTTGAAAGTAGTGAATTTTATGAAATTGGGTTATATTGCTGAATCGTCTTTTAGGGATTGAAACTTTTTTTTTTTTAATCTTTTGTTTTATTTTGTTTGTTTAAGTCTCAATGCTATGCAAGTTTTATCCTCCGAATTAGGGTTTTGCATCCTTTAGGTCTTTTCAGAGACAGACTATTTTTTTATAAAAATTATTGAATTTTTCTTTTGCGACCATACATATCTTAAGTAAAAGTTAAAGGTAAATTCGTCAATAGCTTTTGTTATTCGTTCTAATACAAATATGAAAACACTGTATATACTTCTTGAGATAATCTGCATTTCTATTCGACTCGGATATAGCGAGCCAAACTTCCGGTCCCTTGAAGTTCATTATAGCGGGGTTCGATTGTATGTGTCATGGATATGAATAGCCATAATCAAGAAAAACGTTTAAGGCACCACGCCTGTAGAAGATTCAGCGCAAGATAATTGCTTCCTTTCCTCAATATGTTGATGTATCTTTTAAGCATAATTATTTTATATAAATTGAATGCCACTACATCAAGCAAAATTGAAAATATCTGATTTATTTCTTTTCTGTGTAGGTGGGTGGAGAATTAGACAAGTGGGAGTTTCCAAGACATCGATTGCAATTTGTTGGAATAGTGGGCGAGGGCTGTTTCGGGCAAGTGTGGAAATGCCTAGCTCAAGACATTGGACCAAGACAGGAGACAATTACGGTTGCTGTCAAGACTCTCAAACGTTTGTTATTTAGGAATTCAAGTAATAAGAATATTTCATTAAGGTGAAATTTTCAACAAAGGGTAACTGCTAACCCTTTGTTGAAAATCAACTTTTGTAAAGTAATGTTAGATAAGTATTTATTAGTGCCCATTTATGATGCAAGTAAAATTAACTGCAGCTGAGTCCACTGCTACATTTTTTGCTGTTTAGTGCCTTCAGAAATTTTGCTGCTCCTAATTTTGTCACACATGTTGTACTGATTCTAGCTTCTGTCCGGGACTGCAAATGACAAGCCCAGTTAATAACTCATATTTTTTATTTTCTAAATTAGATTCTATAAAATCCGAATAATTTAAGAAACTTTGATGTCATTATATTAAATCGCGATTAATTAATGATACATTTTCTTTGTTGCTCACTAAAAACTATTGACAAATTCAGGCAGAATAGGGCTATCTGGAATTTGGAAAATTTTCCAAGGCGCTGGTTAGCTACGGGTCAGTTTTGTCACTGAAGATTCTAGCACCTTTATATAATTCGGCGATTGGTCATCCAGAGAGAAGCTACCATAAATGTGACGACGGATAACATAAATGTTCCGGAACCTCAGCGAAAAGTGTTTTATTCAACTAATAATTTGAACTCCATAATGGTGCGTGTACCTTTATGAGGGGATGACGCCAAGATTCATAATAAAGATGCTTTGATATAAAGGTACCAGCAGCTTGGCAAAAGATAAATGCTTTAAAGTTAGAAAATGAACTTATTAATGATAGCGATTGTAAAGAGGGTGAGGGAATTTTATGCCAGAGCATCGCTGGCAGATAGCGCCCAGTTGTATTAATGGACATCTTTATGAAGATTTCGATAAGAAACAAACCATCATAAATGTACGGACGGCACTTTGATCGAAATTGCGTTCTCCAAGTTATAAACTGAATTTCATAATGATGCGGTCACCTTTATGCATGTCAGTGACTATTACCTAAAATATCAAAATTGCATTCTACAGGTTATAAAATGAACTTCATAAGAATGTGGGCTCCTTTATGCACGTCACTTATTATTCCCTAAAATAAAGACCTTTACATGGGCGTCCGGCATCTTGAAAGTCGCATTCTTCGTGGTGTAAAATAAACTTCCCAAGGCTGCCTGGCACCCCTTACGTCTTAAAGAACATTGGTTAACTCGTAAAAATTGCTGGTACATTCATTCAGGTCGGCGACTATTAACTTAGATCTTCAGAGGAACGTACTAGAATCTTGATGAAAGCTACATTTTTCGTGGTGTAAACTGAAAATGCCTAGTATAAACCGACACCTTTGTTGTGAAGTCCTCAACAATTCACTTAGATGATCATATGGGTGTCCCAGCATCTTGATGAAAGTTCCATTCTTCATGGTATAAACTGAACCTCATAGGGTTGCGAGACACTCCTTATGCCTTGAAGAACAGTAGTTAATTTGCAAAAAGGAGCCAGCAGTTTTAATCAAGTCGGCAACCATTTACTTAGGTCTGCACGGGAACGCCCCGGAATATTGACGAAGGCTGCATTCTTCATGGTATACGCTGTTCATACGGGCACCGAGCACCTCTGTGTCTTAGTATCAGAGCAAGCTGACCATTGGCGGAGAATGGTCAGCTTTCATAAAAGTGCTAGTACCTTTGTGCAAGTCGGCCATGCTAGTCAGATCACTTCCACCCACCTCTGAACAAAATTCCTTTCCTCATTAGGGCCCACCAGCGGCCGAGCGGTAAAGTCGCTGAACACTGGTAGTTCGGTCCGAGTTGAATCCCGCGACGGGTGGCTGCTGGGTTTCGTGGTTTTCCCATGTGTAGTGTATACGAGCCGTTTCCTTAGAAAGTCCTCCACGAAGGCATCCCTCCCCTTAGGCAGATACCCTCGTGTGCTTTTGCCATAATAAATACATCAACACCAACTTTTCCTATTTTTTTTGGGATAATCTAAAATCGTTTTGTGGAGTAACGATTTCGAGGAAAAAAAAAAAAAAAAAAAGACAGAATACTCATACAAATCAGTCTTTCTATCCCATATTTATATTTTGATTAAATAAGATAAAATTTCTTTCGATATGTTTTAGAGGACAGCGAGGGTTCACTTTGAAAAAATAATTATTTTGCGTAGGCGCATTAATCGGAACTTTCAGCACTATCTGTTGAAAAACAAAGTTGGGGGGGGGGAATGGTGAGCTAAGGCAGATTAACCTAGCAGGATCAACCTAGCATGTCTTGCGCACTTATCACTGTGCGAAACAAATATCTTAGAATCCAAATTCATCTGAATTGATGGAGAGTACAGCCATATCAGATAATACGTTTTTTCGGAAAATTAAGAATGATAATTATTTCGCAATAAATTTTTATTGAACAAGCAAAAATGGAACTCGATTATCTGGAATCTTATTTTCTATTGCGAGTCAAGCTTATCATAAACTGTTTTTTAATGGTGGGCACTAGCCTTTATAGGCAGTGGCCACTGCTAAGGCCAGAAACGGTGGTCACTTTATTATGGAGGCACCTAATAGGTGGAACACCTTTGTCTCCTATAAAAGGACAGACAATTTACATCCATACCTTCATCGGGATTCGAACCCGAGCCCTTCGGTATGGCAGTTAGAGACACTAACCATTTTCTTGTCTGGGGGATTATCATAAACTTATTCGTGCATTTTTATTCTGCTCACTGATTTAAAAAATATAGGGAAATATCGTACAATAAATATATTTTTTAAGTAGCTATTAAATATAGATGAATGTGTACAATATTTAGATTGCTTACGATGTTTGCCAGATATTACCTTAAAGATATAAACATAAATGCAAATATATATATATTAAAAGTAAAATCAAACTAGTTATGTAAATAATGCTTTACTTTAATTTTACTTGAGTGGGAAATTGGTTATGTGCTTTGTTTTACGCAAATAAAATATAATTGCTGTATTTAATTTTAGTACAGTAAAAATTAAAATAAGGTTATATCTTTATGTATCATGTGGTAGTATACATCATGTGGGTCAATTTTTTTACATTTTAAGTGTTTAATTGAATTTGAAATAAGAATTCACAGATGATGCGACATTTGATTTGCAGAAAGTGCTACAGAAAAGGAAAAGAAAGATCTGCTCTCGGAACTTGAAGTAATGAAGCTCCTGGAACCACATCCCAATGTCGTTACTCTTCTGGGATGCTGCTCAGATAAAGGTTTGCATCATTTTCTTTTCCTTGCAAACATCTTGATGCTACAGTCCTTCATCAAAGGAATATTTTTAGATTTTTTTAAAATTCTGGTTACCTTTTGATAGGAATATCTTTAGTCTAAGTCAGAGGTTCTCAACCAAGGGAGAATCCCCCCTGCGGGGTTTCATAGTTTCAGGCGGGAGGAAGCAGTCAGCCTTTTATTTAACTGTAGGGGATTTAGTTTTAATTCATGAATTTAAAAAACTACTATATTCAAGTTCAGTATATCAACATTTTCTATACTTTTTCTTGTTTAATTTACAAAATACTTTTAAAAAAAAAATCTAAATTTCAAGAAATATATGTGTGTTTTGAATGATCGTCTACCAATGGTGAAAGTGGTAGACAGGCAAAAAAGGGGGCAAAAGAAGTTTCAAAAAGTTTCATGAAGCAAAAAGAAATAAAAACCATTAGTCTAAGCTTTCCTTTTTTTTTTTTTTTTTTTTTTTGTTTTTGTGTGTGTCAAATTTGAATATGATACCCCAGTTAATCATCCACGCTGCCTGGCAAAAATTTAATTCTTAATAAACTTCATTCTGAAAAACAAAATTAACATTCGATCACAAACAAATTGGTTCACAGACAAATTTTCAACATGAAAAAGTCTTGGATGATGAGCGATGTCTCAAGGTGAGAACAGTAAGCTGGCAACAAATGATATTCACAATTATTAACGCACGGAGTAATTTTCAACAAATGAAGGAAAAGAAATGTTCTTAGTTTTCGTCACGAATTTGTCAAATACGATAAAAATGCAAAGGTTCAAAGAACAATTACCATGATAAAGCAATAATAAGTCATAGCATAAATATTTAAAATAATTTGACAATGCCATGGTTTGGTTTAAGATAATTTTAAAATATAGATAGGAACCAATCAAAGCGGATAAATTTTTAATGTGACAAAGGACGGAGGACAGAGACTCTGAACAACATGTGTATAATCCAGTTAATTACTGATGAGCATCACGCAAATTAGACAAATTATTGTATAAAATAGCGTGAGGTAAGTTCACAAATGGGGCAAGTGCATATACTAGTTACTTTTTATTACTATAATATGAATGAAATGTCTCTAGCAGTATGTTATATCGATTATAATTAATATAGCGATTCGACATAATGGAATGCAAATGAAATGGTCTTCCCTGAGTCAACCAAACATTTTATAGCAGGCTTGTTCATATTAATTCTGATCTTGCCCATTTGCACATGAAACAAGGCTCAGAATGTCGTGTTATGGAAAAATAAGAACTGAATTTATCAGAAAATTGAAAAATTTTTTAACAGTATTTATTTTATGCCATATGAACATTTGACACTATCAATAAAATACAAAAATATTAACCCCGGTTGATTTTATAAAACAGTAATTCTTTAACTCACTGCAGAACAGAAGCAATATTATCATACACATATCTTAAATACAAAATTTCACTTTTTAAGACAAGTCTTATTAGCACATACCTATAAATACAATAAAAACTTTCCTAATCTCAAATTAAACTTTCGAGATCAGGTTTTTTTTTTTTTTTTGATATTCAAAATTTCTTAAAAAAATCCTTAATCTATATTTAATAAATCGAGATTCAATTGCAGTATGCATTCAGCAACAGAATAATCATTTGTGTATCACCTAGCAATGAGATCATTCTTTGTGTTTTGTTTTCTGTACTATGTTATTGATATGAATTTCAGTATTAAATCTGTTGAGCATATTATGATATTTTTTAAATAGGGACCAACTGAAAGTATTAATAAAAATCTGTTACACACAAAGGCTTTTATCATATTCCTACACTTTGTTTCGAAACTAAGTTTTCTTCTGGTGTAGACCCAATCCTGGTGATTATGGAATTTGTCAGTCGTGGCAAACTGCAGACTTACCTTCGTGAGAGTCGTGCTGAGAGGCTATATGGAAATCTTCATGGTAGCAGCAAGCATCTCACATCCAGAGACCTCACAGCATTTTCTTATCAAGTTGCAAAAGGAATGGATTATTTAGCTAACAAAGGAGTAAGTTTTAAAAACATTTTCTCAGACAATTCTTCATGGTTAAATACATGTTTGAGAAGTATTTGGTTACTATCCAAAAATTTTATGGAAGTAAACATTCTCTTGTGAATACTCTAAATAACTAACTATTGGAAATAGTTATAGGAGACGAGTTATATGATGCATACTATTGGAAAGAGGGTCAGTTTGAACACCTAGCAATTACTCTAAGAGGCCAACCCAAAACTGAACCACTGGACATAGGATACGTGATTTTGCACTTTCGGCTCTACAATAAGATGAATGGGATTATAATTTTGGACAAAAAATTCATTTTCCGAGATGAAGCTTATTTCTGTTTGAATGGATTTGTTCACAACTAAAACTGTCATTCTTGGTATCTAGACAAACCACAAAAATTGCATGAGACATCATTGCATTTGCAAAACGTCACTTTATGCTGTGGTTTATGGCACAGAGGTATCATCAGACCATTCTTTTTCCAGAAGGAGGGAGGAGATGCAGTTATAGTGACTAGTGGAGGATACCGATTCATGATTAGAAATTTTTTATGGCCAAATTTGGAGAACTCGTGGTTCCAAGAAAATAGTGCCACATTTCACAATGCTAAGGCTACTATCAATATTGCAAAAAAAAAGTTAGCTGAAGGGATAGTTTCACAAAATGCAACTGTTAGTAAGCCTCCTTGAAATTGTGATATAACTCCTTTAGATTATTTTTGTGAGGTTTTTGAAATCAATGGTCTATACAAGGAAATTGTGAACCTTTGAAGAATTAAGAATAAACACTGAACATTGCATTCAATACATTAGGCCAGAGTTATTGCAGTCATCGAAAACTGTGTTCACCGATTTACTCGTGTGTAAATCTGAATAAAATGATCTAAGTCTGTGAATTCGTGCTGAAATAGCTCTAAGAAATTTGCACTTATCGATATGAAGCTTTTGTATTTAACTTATATATAATGATTATTTACTGTTTGGAAAAAATATTTTAGATAAAAAAATTATGGATTATTCAAGCCCTTTGAGCTGTGTGAAATCTTCTATTTAAACTGTTGTTGTAAAGTTCTGTGTACAATTTTGAGAAACTCCATAACGAGTATCATGCAGATTAATATTTAGAAAACAAAACTCATATCCTTTTTTTTTTTTTTTTTTTTTTTTTTAAACATTCTGTGTATCAACAATTTTTATAATGTCAGAAGAAAGGCTAATGTTACATACTGCAATTTTAGCATATAAGTTATCTTTTCAAAATGGTATAGATTAGCAGTTTCAGAATTATAAGATGTCTCTATTTATGATACCTTCATTAATCATGATTCTAGGACAGCATCTCATTCATGCATTCCAAATGTGAGTGATTTTTATACTCAGAATATATTCATTTATATCATCATCATTATCTAAGATACCATCTGATACAGGTGCCAGCAACCTTCCTTTTTTACTATGAGGATATATTTCAGAAATGCAGTTCTTCAGGCACCATGGGGTGGCTACAATAATAAATATACAATAATGATAATATAATAAAATAATAATAAATATATAACTACATCAAAATAAAGTTAATTTATGTTTTAAAAAAGTGTAATATTCTAATCAATTTTTATAATTGTAAAAACATTAATGAAAAAATATTGCTGTGGCATGCTGTTCATAAATGTTGGTAGTCAAGCAAGAAAATTACAAATCATTACTATTGTGCAACTGAAAGAAATTGTGATACACAACAATCAACTGAAATGAAATTATGTCCTTAGTACCAACCATTGGAAAAGCAATGTTTGTCTGTAGCTTTTAATCTGAAGAGACGAATGCATATTTTGCCCAAAATTTGAAATGCAAATTCACAAAATGACAAATTTATATACCAGCAGTGGTTACAGATATAAAGCGTACAGTTGTCAAAATGGCGAAGACAACATAAGAATGTTTACTAAAGTTATTCATTACAATTACGAGTACTTATTGTCCAAATATCTAAAATTTAGAAATTTGAATAGTGGGCACTTCTTTTTGTGAGCAACTTGATGCTCATGAGCATTACACTGCTACCCAGTGATCTAATATATTAACAACAGTGATGTAGATAAAATAGATATTACTAGATTAAATCCAAAAAAATTATGCATTAATCTTAACTATCTCTTGGGTTCTATGAAAACTGAATATTCACCATTTTATTTCAAAAATTAATAGTCCTATACTGTACCTGTCTCTAATGAATATGCCTGATGAAATAAAAGCAACTATAATACCCTTTGATGAAAAAGTAAGAATGCTATAAAATTTAACACTTTAATTAAATGGGGAACAAGAAAAACTGAATTTTTGGAATAAAACCAAATATTTAATACTTACAGAACAAACCTGTTGAAATATGGCTTCAAAATACTCTTAAATTCAGGTGGTGGAAAAAGTTGCATAGCACATTAGAGAATATTGAAACATATATGAGAAAATTTTCATATTACTTTTCACTGTTTTATAAAGATATTAATGCTACATATTGCTTCAGTATTACAGTACCTCCCGCTTATTATAAAATCACTTTAGTTCCAGGCATATTCAAGTTTACTGAGTAAATAGCTACTAGTGATATCAGTTTTAAACTTATCTGTAAAATAATAATTCTTAACTAATCCACAAATTATTCCTAAAATAATAATTAAATTTTTTTGTTAAAATTAAAGTATTTATGCAATTTATTTAAAAAATTGTTACAAATATTTTTATAATTATGTATTTGATGAATAAATCCATGTCTGTTTCGTATTATTTGTCAGCAGGTTTTCAATTGTATTCTCAATTTTGTAAAACTGCTGGTATCTTTTTTGGTCTGCCCATTTCAGTTCAAGAGTTTTTATTAAAATTTAGTGTTTCTCTAGATGATATTGATACATCATTTACTCTCTTCTGTATCACCTTCAGTGTCAGTTTCAGTATCATGGTCTGTTCTTACACTTATTGTTTCAGTATTGTCATCAGTTGATGCATAGTCTAATAATGAATCTTCATAAATTCCCTTGCTGACTGATGTCTGAAATATTAGCTATAGCTTGCAATTCCTGTAAAGCTTCTTCTACATAAAAGCCACATTTCCTAAAACAGTTTTTAACTCGGTTTTAAATACTGACCTCTGTAAGATAAGAAAATAGGAGAAAGGTAGAAATTATTTTGGTCAACCCTGTTTTTATTGAAGTACTACATAACTCAAGGATAAATGAGCCATGATCCAAAATAAGTTAAATGGATGAACTACAAACAGCTATGATAGTTATTAGATATAGATTTAGGCACTGAAAAATCAGTCTTTTGCCAATCAAAGTTTTAATACAAGCAGCAAACATAAGTTTAGTAAACAGTGTTTTTTCAATGAATTAGTACATACTTGTCTTGTTTCCTGGAAATTTGGATGTAATAAGTGGCTGATTTTATTAACCAGTGAATTTAGTACATGTTAAATGCATTTTGCTTGCTTTCTTCAAGAAATTTACTTCTGAAAGATTAATAAGAAAACTTATATATTGGATGAAAAATCAGAAAATTAATTCCTTCAGCGCAAATTGTAACTATTATGTGTTAATATTGTTTACATGATTATCTGATTTTTTTTTAATCCTCAGATAATCCATCGTGATTTAGCAGCACGTAACATCTTGGTGGATGAAAATAAAGTTTGCAAAGTTGCAGACTTTGGCTTTGCAAGAGATGTCATAGCAAGCCATGTTTATGAAAGAAAGTCAGAAGTAAGAACCTTTTATGTAAATAAATACTTAAAATTATATTAAAAAATCTCATATCATGTATGCAAATAAATAGTTATTTAATATGGTTAAAATAAATCTAATGATATTCTAAAACATATTTCAATTTTAAAAAGTAAACATAAATCCATTTCTTATACTGAATCAATAAAAAAAGGGTAGAGGGGGGACATGAACACTGTAGTTAATGAATGAGATACATTCTTCAGAATATTTAAGTTGAATGTGTTTGTGAAATTTAGTAGATCCTGATGAATGAAGATTTAGAGGAATAATAATAGCAATAATAATAATGTTTAAAAATTATTTATACAAATGTAGAGTCCATGTGGGTGGCATAAGTTAAATCTATGGGGCTTCTTGATTACAAGGACATTTTAATGGAACAGAACATACAGCAAATACACATACGACGCACAAAATACAAATACTAATAGAAAACTGCTGATATTGTAAATCTAGCTTTGAATTTTAATTCTTGTTGCCAACTCTAAGAAAGCATTCCTAATAACTATAATCAAACTATATATTTCTTTGATTTATTGTTAAGCCGATTCTTTAATTTTTGGTCAATTCCTATAATAATGAATAATTTGAGGTTGATGTTTTCCCCCTTAAATAACATTCAATGATATTCTTTTGTGATTCACCAGAATCTTTAATTTATAATTTTGTCTCATTTGGTATAAAAGAATTTTCGCAGAAATTTGTGTTTCCAAAATCTAAATATACATTATTTATATTCTTGTGAAGTTTTATTACTTTAGGATCATAATTTGGTAATCATAAAAAAATCAGAAAAGAACAAATACTTTTCATTTTTATATTACAAGTTGTCTACATGCTGATACTGAAGCCTGCTAGTGTTTCCTAGAACATGAATTTTATCATCTCATTAATAAGATCTTTTTTGGGGGGTTACATTGATCAATATTTTTCACAATGGTCTGCAAAAAACTGTTTATCCTTAATCTCTTAGCAACACAAACTCTTTTCTAAACAATATTACATTTTTTATTTCATACAAATGCAAATATTTTGCTGTTGAATTTCTGTATGGTTGCTGAATATGATCCTTTAATTTTATATTGAATATCTTGGTCAATATTTGCTGCACAGGAGTAAATTTTTTTTGCGTTTTAACAAAAACATTTTCCTAAACATAAGTATAGGTACTGCAAGACATGTAAAAATGTAAATTTCATAAAATTGATTTATTTAAATTTTAAAATGCCAAAACATGAATCTTTAAAACACTTCTGTAAGTATATGTCTATGACCAAATGGTTGTGAAAATAAAAAGGTAGGTGATTTTGTGGACACAGTGTATATCCATCAGTTTTTAAATATGATCATTCACTATTTAAGAATCCCCTTTTTTTATTAGATGCAGGAAAAAAGGTCTAAAACATTGTTTACAAGTGTTGGAACTTCCTTGCAACATATTAAGAAGCTCCTACAGGTGTTGTAGAAACTAGGATGTTATGGCAAATGGCACAATCATGTGTCAAAGAAAACAGTCTAGTGAAAAAAAAACATGTGATGACTAACCATCAAATGAGACCTTTAGCAGTGAAAAGTAAAACTGCTACTGCTAAAATAGACTTCTACATATGCAGGTGGCAAATGCCACCCGTACGGCCAAAAGGGTTGATGACAGAAAAAAACTAAGCCATATGAATGCAACAAAGGCAGTTCTTAAGAAAATTCATTTCTTACTTTTGAATTTACATGATTTAAATAGTAATAAAATCTGAATGCTTTCAGATTTTACATTACACCCAAAGGGGCCTTTTTTTTTTTTTTTTAACGTTTTGCATTACCTTTATTTATTAAATATCACGTTCTTCGCACTTAAACCATAAAATTCAATTCAACAGCAATATCGCAAAATAATTTTAAATTGAGCATCTTTAGAATTTCCGATACACAGTCTCACGTGCTGGAGATAAAAATGTTTTTCCCTACAATGTTGTCGTTGCTTGCTTTGAAGTCGTTCAGTTTGTTAATCAAAAATTCGTCAATGTTGTCCAAAATATGAAATCAATAATAAAACAAATTCCAAATTTGGGCTTCCAGATGCCCATATTCACAGTATTATGCCATTCAAAATTTGATGTCTCTAGGTACCGTTGTTTTATCACAATGCGAGAAGCATACATACATTTATGCAGATTCTTCATTATTTAATTTCTTCAAATATAATACAGAACAATTATGTGGGCCAGTTTGAAAAAACACATTCAGAATGATCGACGCAAAATCACAAAACAAAAACAATAGCCCCTCGGGGACAAAGCTCCTTGAGACTAATAAAGTGTAAATGGCCTCATTTTTGTACATCCATCAGAAGTGAACCATATCGTAGACCACACTGAAGAGTTTTCTTTTCTAAAACATCTTTAAAATAATCCAACCTTGAAACTGTCACTTTCGCTACCATATATTTCCCGAAGAAAACTCAAGAACACCTATTTTTAGCGACATCTGCCTGCCAGAGAAAATTCGATCTTTATGTCTTCTACCTAGGATCTGTGTCTCCATCCTGTAGTATGAGGTGAATGAACTCCATGAAGACTCCTAAATTTAAATGTTATGTAATGTCAATAGACCTGTTTGATATAAATTTAAAAATTAGAACCCTAAAGAACGTGCTTTTTTCTCAAGTTCGATTAATTCGTCATGAGTGAAAGAAGAATCCCTTATGCAAGACCTATTAATAAGTCTTGCATATTTTTTAATTGCAATTTGATATTGCGTTTACCTGTATAAATTTAAGATACGGTCATTATTTTAAAGTAAGCAAAATGGAATTTTTTTGTTCTCATGTAATTTTAATATACCGTACAGGCTGAATTTTAATTTTAATATACCGTACAGGTATATTAAAATTAAATTACTCATGTGATTTTAATATGTAATTCTCATGTAATTTTAATATACCGTACAGGTCTCTGGCTCTCCTTGAGAGCCAGAGAAAAAATGTTAAAACACTTTAAAATTATGCGGGATCAGTAAAGTTGTCTTATATTCGAACCAATGACGTACTTCCTTTCATTTGACGGCAAAGTTCGTAACACAAGATTGAAAATGCGCTAAGGGTAAAATATTCTAAAAACTGAATTACCTCTTTCTCCAAGAAACATACATCATCATTCGAACACTGGAAAACACACGAGGACTATCTGTCTAAGGGAAGGGATGCCTTGTGGAGAATATAATAATAAGCAGGCGAAATAGTTTTAAAATTAGCATATCTCTAGAATTTTTGACATACAGTCAGTCTTGCACACTAGAGATAATCCCCCCCATACAGTGTTGCCATTGTTCGCTTTGAAGTCATCGAGTTTATTAATAAAAAATCCATTAAAGTATTAGAAAATATCGATAATAAGACAAATTCCAAATTAGGGCTTTCAAATGTCCATATTCGGTGGATGATTATGTTATTCAAAATTTGATGGCTTCTAGGTACCAATATTTTATCACAATGCAAGAAACATACATACATTTATGCAGATTCTTCATTATTTAATTCTTTAAATACAACACAGATCGATGATATTTGGTGGCAAAAACTTGAAAAGTGAAACGGACATTTAAAGTTTTCAACAAAAACAAAATTAATAGTGCTTCTGGGCTAATACCCTTTGGGTTAAATAACAGTAAAAGGCATTTTTTCTCTGCAGCACTCTTGCAATATAGAAAAGCATTTGTACAGAACATTATAGTTTTGAAAACAACTTGAAGTTTTTCCTTTAATATATTATGAACTTGCTTCTAATCAATAAAAATCAAAACTGTCAGTTGTCATGCAGACAAAATATATCTTGAGAATTTTTTACAGCAGCAAAAGGCATTCTGCAATTATTTTTATATTTGAATAAAGCTTCATTTATTCATTTTTTTAATTATGAAATAATTTTTTATCTTTGTAAAAAAACTAATGCAACAAGCACAAAATTAAATTAATATGTTCCTATCATAATATATGGGATCTAGATTTCTTTTATTTAAATTTATTTGTGAAATTAAGTTGTGAAATAAATAAACAATTGTATACAGATTTTTGTGGTTTTTCTTACCTATCAAAGAAATAATGCAGTTCTTCTTATAAAGATCTCCACTCAGTATACTTCCCATACATAATCAGTGTCATTACTGGAATAAGTTTACTTTTTATATTATGTTTACTAAATTTTCACAGCAAATAGAAGTCTTATTGTTTGATTTTTATAGGGACGACTACCAATTCGTTGGATGGCTCCAGAATCACTTTTTGATAATATTTACACAACCAAAACAGATGTCTGGTCCTTTGGAGTTCTCCTCTGGGAAATTGTAACTCTAGGTAAATAGAACTTCCTAAACCTGATCTTGTTTTTTTAACAGCAGAATTTTACATTAATGTCAAGAACCATTCTGACACATTTCATGGTTTCTACCACAAAAATTTACAGCAACTGTGAGAATTGTATTCTTTGCCATCTTACTATTCCAAAGACAAAAATAAAATCAGAAAAAGTCATTTAATAAAATATAGAGAAATATTTCACAGTGACTGCTCTCAAAACGACTAATACTTCTAAACAATGTAAGTAAGCACTGGTATTGCATATCATAGTCATGATCTCTAAGGCAACCATCTTAAAATTGCTTGAAACTAAGAGTGATTATTTATAAAAAGCAAATGAAATCTAAACAACTCGTAAACAAATGTAGGCCACCATTGCATGACTAAACAGTAAGTTTTGTTAGATGTTAGACATCTACAATAAATCATCAAAGTTAAATTGATACATTTGTTGTGAATAATTTGAGCTAAATATGTCATATACTTCAGCAGAAACAAATTTAATAGCAACAATTCACAATGCCAATAAATTAATTAATAGGATTTGTACTATACTTTTTTAAATAAAGCTCATATCAATTACCATTCAAAATGATGCCTCCTCAAATAAGGATTCCATTTTCACCAAAGAGATAGATTTCCTTTACTTTGGAGGAACAATAAATGGCCCTAAGCTCTCTTCAGCTGAATATTTGTCGAGAATCACTCTAAGTTCTGAATCTTAACTCATCACTGAAGGGGACATAGCTCCAATTTTGTAATGTCTACGAATGGTTGCCTGGCTCCATATATGAAGGCTGTCTTCTGTGGTATGTTGGAGACATATACCACAGAATGCTGGGCATAAAGAGCCTGCTATGATAGGTACACATTTTGCTGGAAACTGTTATTCCAGAAGCAGTAGCACATTTCTAATACAGTTCTGTAGCCATCATCAATGAACAACACCACAGAGAGATTTAGTGATTTATGTAACCCTGTATCGATCCTATGCAATTTTTATGGGTCATGGGCAGGCTCCTTAGGGATGATGTTTTCAGTTTAATGCCATGATCAGAATACCACTATTTGAAATCCCGTAACCTCTGCTTAAGAATGGCTAACCTTGCGACAATTAATGGCATTCCACCTCAATCCAGTATCTAAACAACTGCAAGAACTCATTTTAACCAGAATTAATTAGTTTTGTGATTTTTCTTGTACGAAGTACAAATCTATAGACAAGTTTCACATATTCAAAGAGTGGTTAATTTTACATTTTTTAACTCGTTCTTTCAAATTTTTAATGAGCTCTGATAAAACCATTCAGTAGAAGTTTTTCAGTTCATTAGAAGTACTGATAAAACTGCATATTTAAAATGCCTAGGCAACTATTTTAACTTATTATAAAAAAGTGTTTTTGTAACTTTATTTTTGAATATTTTCAAAAATAAAGTTATTATCAATTTATTCAAAAGCACTCATTTTTGAGTAAACGATAACTCTCTTTTTGTGGTATACTGAGGCACTTTTATGATATGAAATCCTTATATGATGTGATCCTTCACATTACTACTAGAGGCAGTTGACTTGTTTTCAAGTTTTAATACTTTATTTTCAAGTTGTACATAATAACTGTTACCTACTGCCTGCTTCTATGGATCAGCATAATTAGCTACATACACAGAATTTTACTTGCATAGCTGTGAACAGTTTTATCAGATCATTTAATTTCCTAGAATCTGAAATACTACTTAACAATTAGATCAAACTGCCAGGTAACACAAGATCTTTTACAAACAATATTTTTCTCTTATGCAGATAATGAACACTAAGAAGCATTTAGTTTAGCATTCTCATTTCTATTAAACAGTTATAAGTTGAAATATACTCCATATTCATGAAATAGTGGATAAGTTTCCTTATGTTTTACTTAGTATTTAGTAACTTTCAATTTAAATTGCATATGGCTATTTATCATTTATTTCAGGCTCAACTCCTTATCCCGGACTCAGTGCAAATGAGGTCATTCGAAAAGTGCGTGATGGTTACCGTCTTGAGAAACCCGACCACTGCCGCAGAGAAATGTACAATATTATGTTCTACTGCTGGGACAAAGATCCAAAGCAGCGGCCATCATTTGGAGAGCTGGTGTCTCTCCTGGACAGGCTTCTTGTCAGTGAACATACTTATATTGAATTAGAGCGATTTCCTGATCACTCCTATTACAACATCACCGATTTGTCCGGTGAAAAATTGTGATACTGTACCTAGTGTTTTAAGTAACTCTTCATCAATCATTTACATGTTAAATCATCATTTTCATGAAAAAGAATTTCAATTCAGTTTGCATAATGTATAAGATATGGATAAGTTACAATGTCTAAGGTGATCTTCATAATTTTTCATGGGCAGTTACAGATAAATTCAACTGTTATCATAAGTAATGTCCAGAACATGTATATTTAACTAAAAGTGTGAAAATAGAAAATAAAAGTCATTTTATTGATTAGGTATCAAGCAGGATAAAAAAACAAATATTTCAGAAAATTAAATTTTGATTTAAGAAAAATTCTTCCATAAAATCGCCACTGAATTACTTGCGTAAGACAGCACAAATCATTTTGTATAAATATTTTTATTGCAAGTTTCTGTACTGCAATGCAATAATTACATTTGCTGAGAAATAAAAAAATTCCAGTTTCACAGAAAAAGTTTGCATAGAGTTAATTTACACTGAACTGTCAAAGACCAGATATAAAATTACAAGCATAAATAAGCTTATTTAAAAAACAATCTTTTTCTATTGTATAGCAATGCATGTGAAACATTAAATAAAACAATGCTTTGAGAATGTCCACATTTCTTTAACTAAACTGATGTATGAATGTTCTGGGTACTTTTAATTTTAAAATACGTAAAGTTTTAAAGTAAAGTGAATAAATAGATAGATAAAGCTGCTAACATGTGCATTATAATTTTTAACATTTAAATTAGCTTCATATGAAAGAAATGCCTCTTGAAATGGGGTAAATAAAAACAGATATATTTTGAAGGCTATATAAACATGTATAAAAGATAAATATTTTCTTCGTTTTTAATTTAAGATAGCTCAAATAACTGCATATTTAATATTTCATGCTACAGAATACTATAACATGCAATTCAAACGCACAATTATGCAGATGCAAAAATTAAATTCCTTATTAAAAGTCAAATCTTCAACATTTTCCTATATGAAAGAACTAAGTCAAACTCTCCTTAGTCAAAATGCATAACAATACAACATTTATAACATTATAAAATTATTATTATTGCAGAATCTCACTTTTTAAACTTATATATACAATCAGAAGAACAAACCATTTTGTGAAAAGTACCATAGCAAAAAATAAATCAAAATTCCTTACAATTTTACACAAAGATTTAAGTAAAAAAAAGAAAGAAAATTCTTTTAGAGAAGAAATTTTGATACATAAATTGCAAACAGATAATTTCATTTCAAATTATTAATTCTCAAATTTACATTAAAGTGTTAGTTCATAAAATGTTTACACATTTAATAATTAGTGTTTCAGGTAATTTAAGTACAATATTTAATGCAATGAATAGGATAAATATGAAAAATAAAGGTTTGGACAAGAAAAAAATATTTCCTTAATGAAAAAATACATATGAAATTATATATTTCAATTTTTTAAACTAATAAATAAAGCACTGATTATCTACCTATCACATGATATGGAATTAAAAAAATAAGATAATTTCTGTTCCATTGAAAATATAAGTGTATGCTTTTGATAGAAACCTAATAAATAAATTTAATACTTCAGTATTTAACAAGTAGTCATTATAGATATACACAATACAGCTGCATAAAATAGTGGTAGAAATACATGTTGAAATAATGAACTGAATTAGAACATAAAATTCCCATCAACTTTCCTCCATTATATTTTATTTCAAAAAGGGTCATTTATCATTTCATTAAATTAACATGAACTCTTTGTAGACATTTATGAATATTCATATTTTGAATATATGTCTATGGATTTGATCAGTTTACGAAAAGGAAGACTCTTACACATAGATCAACATGTACTTTACAAATATGTGTAAAATAATCTTTTCAAACACAGGAAAGACAAAATAACATGTAAAATGTATTCATTGTCAGACATTTAAATATGTTTCAGTACATAAATACAACCCCACACATCTTTCAGTAGCTAGCATCCAATATTAATACATATATTATCTATGGTGTTTATCAAATTGCAATTCATAGGTCTTTTCAAGGCAGTGATACAAGAATAAAACATATTATAAAAAAGTTTTATAAACTGATGGCCTTTTTGTGTGTTTGTGTGTGTTTAGAAACAACTAACAATAAGTTTAACAAATTTTTAACTTGTTCATTTGAAGTCCATTGATGGATGAATAGATGAGGGAGTTGATTGGGAAATTGAAATGATTATTAATTATTATTGACCTAGATATATTGAGCCAGCCAACGAAAACCTTCACCATATCCTTGTCTTTTTAAGACACTACACATAAACAATTCTATAGGACGTCCAGGAATTTCTGATCTTGGAATCTTACCCTAAAAAATAAAAACATTAATTCTTCATATGATAAGAATATACAGTTTATTTCTCAGTCAAAGTCATGCATGTAATATGTAACATTTAACTATACAACAAAAATTATTATTTCAGATTTTCGTACCTTTTATTAATAACTTAATCATTTAAACTTTATTGTTCACTAAGATGAAATATTTCAATACATTAAATGCATATCCAAACTATTTATTTACGTATACTGATAAAAAAATACGTTTGTGTAAACAGACATAAGTATTTTTATTAAAATATCCATTATGTAATTTATTAAAGAACAAATCCTTATTTAATTTTGGTACTGGTAAACATTACGAATGAGATTTTGGAAATTTGGACAGATGGAAGGAGGGGGAACAGCAAAGTTTATTGACAGCATTTTTCAGAATTTCATGATTTAAATTAGAATTCATCCAAGCTATTTACTTCCATTCAGAATTATTGATGGTATTTGGCTAAAATGTATGATTTCCAGATAAACTCAAAATTCTTTAAAGATATTAAATATGTACAAGATGTATAAAAATGGTGAATAAAAAAATTCACGGAAGAATTTAATTGATATTTAGAGTTCAGACGGAACTGTTATTGATAAAAAGAGGTTTACGAAAATAATTCAGTGTACTTCTGATTATCTGGCCAAATGGTGGGGAAGCAGATTTACAAATACCTGAAAAACACGAAAAATCAAAAGTCTCAATTTCCATGTGTACTGTATGTGTTTATTTCTTTAAAAAAATCAGTAATTTGTTTCTGAAAATATTTAAATATTCAGTGAATTTCACTGCATATTTTTCATCAAAGTGCTATTTTCATCAATGTATTTGAATTCCCTTTGACAAAGTCCAATACAGTTTCAACTAAAGTCAACAGTAGTTGCTATATTGAACGTTAACGATTCTACATAAATTTTTCCTTTCTCATTAATTTAAAAAAGGGAGGGGGGGAATTTCTAGCAATGCAATGAATTTTTCAATTCAATTTTTAAAAAACAAATCCTACTGTCAAAAGGAACATGACTTTTAAACCTGCTTTTTCAAATGATTCTCATTTTCTAACAATCTGTGTTAGCTTCTAATGATTTAAAACTTTTGAAAATTTCCCATAATATACATTTCAAAGAACATATGCATCAGGAGAGTAAAACCACTAGAAAATTATAATAAAAACACATGGAATATAATCTGCTTATTGGTGTATTTAATTATGGCAAAGCACACTAGGGCTATCTGCCTAAGTGGAGGGATGCCTTCGTGGAGGACTTTCTAAGGAAACTGGCTCGTATACACGTTACACATGGGGAAAACCACGAAAACGCCCATGCAGCCAGCCCGTTCGCGGGATTCGAACCTCGGATCGAACTACCAGTGTTCAGCGACTTTACCGCTCGGCCGTTGGTGGCTAATCTGCTTGTAATGTGCTCTTTAATACTTCTAAATAATACATTTAGAATCCTTTAAAATTTTTATAATCCATCATACATTAGAGCAAGTAGTCAGCACAAAGCCTTTTATAGTGATAATGGGGCCTTCATTAGCATAAAAATTAATAATTTCATTAGATAAAACGCCACAGCTGCCAACCTTGAAATACAAAAAACCAGGAATTTGACAGGTTTGTGTGGTGAAAGCATTTAAAATTCACTTCATAATCCATAATTCAAGTTATTAAACTATTTCCCGTATGAATCTGATGTAAAATATGTTAATAATAATTAAATATTCTACATTTTATACATCTTGCCTAATTTCGTAAATATCTTACATTTTTACACTAAAAAAAATCCCTACTCAAGATTTAATTGATTAAGCATTAACATATTAAATATGATAAAAGCAAAATTTTAATGCATACACTAATATGTGGATAAACTTAGTAATGTACTATATATACTGATGTAAAGCAAAATCAAATGCAAATATTTAAATTGCTTGTATTTCATAGAAAGTTCTGCAGATGTCTACAATAGATTAATAAAATCAAATTTAAGTAAAAAAAAATTATCCTGAAAATTACTAGGGGTAGGAAATGGAATTTGTAAATTTAAGTTTCAATAATTTGAAAATTTTCACTTATTGCTAATTTTCTTTAGTACTGATTGAAAATTATAAATAGAGAGATTCAGGAATCTACTGGAAGATGTAATGAAAAACTGAAAGAGTAGGCAGTATTTTTTAAAATTTTAATTAACATGAAAATAATAATTAGGATTAGTTTAAGAGGCAATCTTTACAAAGAATGATTACACTAACTATAAAATATAGATATTTTCAGTTCTAATCAACCACAGAATCCTTGAAATGAGTCAAGTAGTTATTACAATATTAATATGCAAAAGTAAAAGCTATCCCAAAGCTTTTAAAATATTTTATTTCACATTATATTAAACAATATGAACTCAGTACAATAAAAAAAAGTTTAGATGTATAAAAGCATTAAGATCTTCGACACCAATACCAATGCAAAAATTCTAATTAGACTGATTTAAGATATTAGATGCAATATTCCCTCAATAAAAAATGCAATTCCATAATTTTGGGTAAGTATTAAAAATATTCACAAAACAGTACATACAAATGAAAAATCTTTAAAAATTAGTTAAAGTGACAACGGAATTTGCCACTGGTTTGAATTCCTGCATAAGCTTTTAAAGAACTGTATAGAGCAGAACAAGTTTCAACTTGTTTTTTGAATCATTTTCCATAAACTAAATCTTGTACTCGCATAATTTACAACCCAAAGTTTTTGTTTCATATTTCATCAAATGAATACAACATATAACAAAAATAATGAGAACAGCAAAATAAAGAAACACAGAAACACATAAAAATCAAGGCATGCTAAGACTAATTTAAGTTGCTTGCCTTTCCAGTTGTTTGCCCATGCAAGCAAAAATAGGCACGAAGTTCATCTTCGCTGGCAGCACCTGCTCTGTCTATTTTATTTCCCAAAATCAAGACAGGACAACTGGAGAGTTGCTCATCAGACAAGAGGCTCTGCAAATTTTTAATCAGACATAAGAAAACCTTATTTAAAAATATTTAAATTTAAACAAGAAATATAATTTTAGAAATGCTGGAAAACTATTTACCTTTTCTTTTAAACAACATTAAAGTACATTTAATCTAGCTTTCTTTTCATATTAAAAAATACCCAACATATACATAATCACCATTAAAGATTATCACAACAGACAGACAGGACAGTGAAGGCAGGGTTCATAGCCACATTTTGGTTAAAAAAGTAAGCACCTATAAGCACTTTTCAAGCACATTTTAAGAAAAAAAATAAGCACCTTTTTAATTACATTATACGCAACTGCATAACCTTAAAAATTAGACTCGTAATTTAAAATATGAGAAATACAGTATTTATTAATAGAGAATAAACATTACCTCAACCATGGAAAATAATTACTTTTTTTTAAATTTTAAATAACAGTTCAATTTACAGAACTAGTTTACAATGAGAGAGAAAAAAAAAACTATGCAGAACTAAACTATATTACAAGATTTAATAATGAAATTTCAGTTCAAAATAGAGGAAATAAATAACAATAAGGGATATTTATTCTATTCGCTTGGAACTTAATAATAAATACAATTTATTTTCCCACTCATATTGATATTTAACTAATTTAAATCTAAATTCTGAACATTTTCTAAATTTTCATCGTATATCAGTTTTCCCTTAACAGATATTGCAAGCAAAGTAATTTAAGTAAAAAAGAGGAACATTTCTGAAATCAAAAGACAGAAATTTACTTCATGCAGTCATCCTTTAACAGTAAAAGCTTAACTACCAGCATACTTGAAAGTTGGCGAATATTTGAACAGTGGAGCGTAACTTGAAAATGAGGAGCGGAGGGGGTGATAGAAAATCTGGGACCGAACATCAAAATTCTCTGCAAAAATATGGCAAACGTTATTGCGCAATATGTGCCCCGTAATTCTTCCCTACATGATATTACGCAATCGGATTCAACAGCTGCTGGTATTCGGAGAATAAAGAACTAAATAAAGGAAAAGAAAGAGACTTACGAATCTGGGTTTTTTCCATTCTGAATTTTGAACAGACTGCGTTAAATTTCTGGAATAGAATCATTCTTCACTTGAGTTGGGTAGACCGCAGAACTTTAAGTCCTCAATCCAGATTGGAAAGTGACAAAAAAAAAAAAAAAAAAAAAAAAAAAAAAAAAAAAGTTCGTTGCTTGTTTTGCAGCGAACTGTAACAGTTTCAATATTCCACGATTTTGCGGAAAAATGGGAGAACCTCCCAACCTTCGTACTGTATAAGGTATTGGCAAAAAAATGAAATACTTTCACTATTCATTTTTTTTCTTTATTAAGCCATTCTGAATATTACTACTTAGAAAGCTAATCTGTGTTAAAACTCACTTACCCATTTTTGAAGTTTATCTATACTTCAGCAGTTACTGCAACCATATTGTTATAAATAATCATACATATGCTTATAATATAAGGATAACGATCATAATAAATGGGAATATGAACTGATCACATGGAACAAGAATGCATAATTATTAAAATCTTGATTAAAATTCAAATGTGTGTAGTCTTGGGTGGGAGGAATAGAATACAGAATGTACTGGAATTTTCTACCGCTTTTGCAATTCTTTGACCAATAGAATGACGTGCACCTGTCTGTACTCGCCGTGTACACCAAAGGTTATGTTAATGCACAGAAACGGAGGAAAGCTACTTCCGGGAGTATGATTCACTATCTGACGTACTATTTAAGGAAGAAAAGATAAGTTGTGTTATTTAGTTTTGGCTTTGCTACGGGGGAAAATTGTGCTTTCATTAAAAACAAAAAAGCACTAACGCAAAAAATAAGCACTAAAACAAACAAAAAAATAATAAGCGCTTTAAAGAAAAAGTAAGCACCTATAAGGGCCTTTATATTTTATTTTCAAATATAAGGACTTATAAGGACCGCTACGAACCCTGGAAGGTGTTTTTCTCAAATATAACTTCCTTCCATGAAAGATTTCTTCATAAAAAAAAAAAAGACATTTGACTAATGATTCTTCATAAATGACACTGACACACATACACTCTCACGTGAGCAATCGTAAGTAGATTTTTTACATTATTTCATCAAACTTGAAATATTATTTGCTCAATAAGGTATAGCTGCTACCCTCTGCACAGCAATGCCATTTCAAAAGAATTCCAAATTGATTTCAGTCGCATGACTTAATGGATAAACCAGTTCCTGATGTATTTACATGATTCTGGAGTAATATATATTAATATTTAATTAAATATTCTGAATTGTATGTTTGTTGGCTACTTTCATTTTATAAATTTCTTATAGTTTTATATTGGGAAAATTCTAAAAACAGCAGGAAAGCTTTATAATTTATCAAAATATTTCTAAATAAGATGTAAAATAAAATTAGATTTCAATTTACTACTATGTACATATATTTAGTAATATACAGTCAAAAGTCTTTAATCCGGACTCGTCGGGACTTTGGCGATTCCGGATTATCGGTTTTTCCAGATTATAGACCATCAGTTTAAATCTGGTAAGATGGCATGCAGAAATTATAAAATTAAAAATATGAAACCGTAATTTACGAAATAAAGAGCAATTATGATCTAAAGGGTATCAAAATTTATAAAAAAATATTAATATTTATTTGTTTGCTTTATTAAACATTTTTCAAAGCGCACATGCGTAAAGCATACATTACACATAGTCAAAATTAGAAAATTGCAATCAGAAAACTATTTGATGTGTATTCGTGATATTTATAATGACGAGGAAATTGATTTAAATTATATCGGAGTACATCGAGATGAAACACTACATTTAGTGAGGAATTATAAGCCGAATAAAATAAAAACATCTGCCCTGAAGATGAGGATAGAGCTGACAGATCAACATCCAGTTCATTGCGCGCCGCGACGTATGCAGTGCATGCGCAGAAGTTTGTAGTTTTGTGGTCCGGATTATAGATCATTCCGGATTAAAGACTTTTGACTGTACCATATATTGATGTACAACAAAATTAAATACATGCCTATTGATTGATTAAACATTGGTCGAATCTTAATAAAAGGTTTTACAAATGTCCTACAGTAGATTAATACAATTTAGGTCAAACAAGAAAAATTATGCTGATAATCACTGGGGGTGAGAGAATGAAGTTTACACAATTTAAATCTTCTTAATTCAATAAATTAAATTTATTCCTAGGAAAGATTTATGTAAGTAAAAGCTAGAAATTGAAAACCAGGAAATTTAGTGATCGACCAATAGATGTGATGAAAAATCAGTAGAGCTGACAGTTATAACTAGGTATGAAAATTTAAAAATGATTATATTTGATAGTAACAGACAACAATTTTTCAATTGTTTGGTGGTTCATTAACCCTTAAAGGGAGAATTTTTAAGTGGGAGAGGGGAAGAGGAAATATAATTATTTGATATCAAATTGTTAGACTTTAAAATGCTCATAACTAAGGCATGGGTGAAATTGCTCAACACAAAAGGGTTGCAAAGTGTACATAATGAAATCAAAAGAAACATTTATTTACATTTATTAAATATAACTAATATTACTAACATAAATGTATACATAATTACTAAATAAAAATCCAGTTCTATATTTTACATATTTATAAGTTATTTGGAATGCAGCATTTGTGAGGGGGTGGGCTTTATGAGGGGAATGATACACTGCAATGTGGTGACATAAAATTATGATTAAGAGCCACTGGGCTAAACAATAAATTACTCTCTCAAAAATTAATCAGACAAAATTCTCTGAATAATGGTTATTCAAACAAAATGAAAAATCACACAGTTATTGCATTTAATAATGTGAATATTCAGAACTGTTGTTGCAGAATTAAAGTGAAGCATTTTATGAAGACCTGATAAATGACATTTAAAATTAGAAAGGAACTGATACCTGTAATAAAGTTCTTGTTGGCTGAAGATAAACAATTTGTCAGAATGCAGAAAAACTGAATGTTGTTCAGAAAGAGGAATAATGCACAAGATAACTAAAAAGTAGCATCAGCACTTTCATGAAGAAAGAATAGATTTTCAACAAAGAAACACTGAGAAGACATTGAAAATTATTCATAATCAGATTATGACAATCTGTGAACTTATTCTGCGAGTTCAGCAATTCACCGTAAGTTTGTATGTTGTTCAGAAATCTTATCTTCCACTTTCATACATGTCTACTCACTCATCCTACACCAGTTATCTCACTCAATTACTTCTAAATATGTCACAAATTGTAGAATAAGCATGTTTCTTTTGCTTTCTAAATCTTTGCTTTCTAAATACATAGTTAAACCTAGCAATCATAAACTTTTAACCTAGCAATCATAAACTTTTAATAGCTGAAGACTTGCTGTCAGCAAATTAAATGAATTATTTTTGAATACCTGCTTTTTATCAGTTTCAGTTAGGTAATTGTAAGGTATTTGTTAGTCAGTGATTGTTCTAAATAAGCTCACAGATTGTCATAATCTGATTATGAATAATTTTCAGTGTCTTCTCAGTGCATGCACTTTGTTGACTACAAAAAAGAAAGAGTTTGCATAAGTCAGTCTGTACTTACATGGCACACATACTGCTAGATGTAAACTTGTAATGTGTGTGTTGAATGGGAAAAGAAAAAAAAAAAAAAAAAAAAAGGACATTTTAATAAAACGTATCTAACCATTTAAAGAGAAAAAGGTTAACTCACTGCAGACCTACATGGAATTAGGTAATAAGATTACAACTGTCAGTTTTCAAATGCAAAAATATGCCCAAATAGAAAAATAATTGAGAACACAGTAAAAATGTGTTTAAATGCCAATTCCACACTACATAAATTAGATCACCCAGCCATGCATGATGATTTAATAATATACCTGCCTGGATAATTATCCTTTTGAAGATACTTTGAGACATAAGCATGTACCACTTTGTAAAGATCCAAGAAAGAAACAATAAGAGAACAACCAGAATATGAATGAATAGCTGTAGCAGACAATGAAACATGTAATTCTTTTTTTTTTTTTTTTTTCCATATTACTGCAGTTACTTGATTAACAATGACATGTAATCTTATTATTTATTTATTTGTGAATAAATGCAAAATTTCTTTTTAAATGCAAAAATTACATATCCTTACTCGTAAGGAACTCATTTTGAACAAGGTTATCAATCACATGATAGAGATTTGAACCAAATTCTATCCAATACAAGGACCTTTTATAAAGAATTCAAAAGGCTGAGTTTTCAGTGGCTGAAGTCCCTAAATTTTTTGGTAACTTGATATCATACATAGTTTTAGAAATCAACATATTTTTTTCTGAATGACTGTAAAATCCAATAATTTGTCAACAAGTTATATAATTCCTCACTATGAATAGTTAAAAATTCAAAAAAGGAATAGCTACCTTTGAAATAACCCTTTTGCCAGTGCTGATAAGCTTTCAACACTGTCCATGTTTCATCCCCTGTAATAATATTGTTCAAAAATTGAGAATCATTTTTATACATATCCAAAACATCTTGACAAATTTCCTCAGCAAGGTTTTCAGTTGTTGGTCAAAATTCTTGGGGCAAGCTTCATGCACACATTTGTAAGTCATTTATAGCAAACAATACCTTCTTTAGTGCTGGATTCTTTTCTTTCACCTTATCTGATGACTGGAATGAGGATCTCTCTCAAGATTTCGTTTCACAGATGGAAAGAGGTAAAAAGGCAGGGAATAAGTTACGTAAACAGATGGGACATGGAAGTATCTTAGTGGCATTTCTGGTGAGAAACTCTATGCATTGATGATTGAAGTGCAGGCTTGTTGCCATGGAAAATATAATATTTATTTTGACACACCGCAGTATACCAATTAACACAGTTTAATTCGTTTTCATGGGTAAAACCATTCTGACTATGGGCAGAAGAGATGATAGCATGCATTTCATATCATGTACCTTTAGTTACATGTTTGTAATTTCACAGTAGACATAATCTCTATTAAAATTTTTATTACAGGAATTTATCTACACATTGAAAATAATGAAAAGTAAGCATGGGAACTTCAAAAAAGATTGGGCATGATTGAGTTTTACTAAACAAAACTCAATTTTTTAGAAGAAGGATTCTCAATCAGGGGGAAAACGCAGTCAGCACTCAAGTTAGTTGTTAAAACAATATGTTTTAATTTATGAATATAAAAATCTACTTTTATTCAAGTTCTAGTATTAATCAATAATTTCCTTGCTATTTGTTGTTTAATTTAAAAACACATAAAAATAATCTAAATTTAAATAAATGCATTTATGTATTTAAGTTTTGAAAAGGGGGAGATGATCTTCTAGTAATCGGGGAAAGAGTTATGAACCACTGCTTTAGAAAACATACTTGAGAATGCAATGATTCTATGAAATTTTTGTTTAAAATACCCTACCCTGCAAAAATATTCAAATTCTATGCAATCTTTTTATTTCCAGTCTGAACACAACAAGAAAATTGAAGTTTCATTTCGTATCATTATAAATTTCAAACGATGATAATAAAACAATTATTTTCTCATATTACATGAACTCCAAAAGAAAATAAATACAATATTACTTATTTCTGAAGCTGATACAACAAGAAAACCATTTATTCGGAATATTCGATAGTTTAAACTATCACCACCTCATAAACGAGCTTTCACAACTGCACTTCATCCAAAGAAATATGAAACATACATTATACAAAGGAAAAAAATTTACTTACATCAAGCTCCACTTTCGCCTCAGGAAATCTTTCTCGATCAAAAGCATCCACCAGAAATACTATTGCGTCAACAGCAGGAAAGTAATCTTTCCATACTCTTCTAGCTGAAAATTTTATGTACCAATTTATTGTTCTTAAATCACTTAATTTGCTCATCAAAAACAGATTAAATTTGGAAGAAAATACTTTGTGGTTTCACAAATGGCAAGACACTGGTGGATAAAAGATAAAAATGATTTTATTTTGGGTAATGCAACACATTTCTTTTAAATAACTGAGTTTAAAGGCACCTGAGGTCTCTCTACAAAGCAATGTCACCAAGTCTACAAGTATTAGATAAAATTTATGTAAATAATAAGACTAAAAATACCTTAAAATTCTTCAACATATTGTCCTCCTGCATCAATACAGTTTTGACAGTGAGATTTTTAAACTGTGAAGGTATCCTAGAAGGCATGTTCAGGAAATGTGTTTCATGAACCATTTCACAATTTACTTTCATGTTGTCAATTGTTCTATAATAATGCCCTTTCAGAAGGGATTTCAAATGGGTAAAGAAGTCTGCAGGAGCCTGTTTGGGACTGAGGGTGGGTGGGACACTGTTATCACATTATATTTGGACAGGTAGCTGGTTACAAGTTGGGTGGGCATGTGCCACTCGGCACATTTCCTCTTCATTTTGGAGTCAAACTGAAATGTCCATGTTTCATCCCCTGTAATAACATTGTTCAAAAAATGAGAATCATTTTCATACATTTTTACAACATCTTGACAAATTTCTTCAGCAAGGTTTTTGGTCAAAATTCTTGGAGCAAGCTTCACGCACACTTTTCCAATGTTCAAATCCTTGGTCATAATCTAATGGACGATCGTTTTTGGAATACTTATGTTATGTATTAATTGTTATTATTTTCAAGCATTAAGTTATTTGCTTACTTAATTCAGTTTGAACAGTAACTGAAGTTATTAATTTTTATTTTAGTTTGTTTAAAGTTGGTTGTAAGTTTAAACTGTAATTTTTGCAAACTTTAAATTTAGGTTTGGTTGCTTTAAAAGTTTTCTTAAATTGAAGTTATTTAATTTGAATTGAATTTAGGAACTTAAGCTTTATTTGATTTCTATACTTGTTTGTTTTGACCCTTAAGGTTTAACTTTTAACTTTAATATTTGAAAGTTTTGTTGCTGCACTTTTGGTGTGTTAATTTTAATTTTATTTGAGGTAACTTAAATTTTTACCCCTCTTTCTATTAAAGTTTATCGAATTCAGATTTTCTGACTGGTGGTAAGGTCAATCAATTATAATTGAAACCCAATCTGGATAATGAGTGTGTATACTTAATTTCTTCTAAAGAAACAATTTATATTGTGCTGACATTTTAATGAACTTAGTTGTTAAATAATAGTTTAATTTTTATTGTACTGAATTCGTTTATTGTAGTGAAAAACTATTCACTGGTTCTGTAATGATTGCTGCACCTCTAATTCTTTTGCCAAGCTTTTTACCACATTATGCTGTTGACTTCACCATCTGGATATTTTTCATAAATGGGACCCTGTTTGCTCTGCGTCTCTAGCATAGAAATGTTCTACTGGGAGATTGTTTACGTAGGGTGAATTTCCGTTGGTTAGGGTGCTCGCCATAGTGGAGTGACAACCCGAGGCGAGGCGAGGCGAGGCTAGTGCCTTCCCCCCTTCCATCAGCAGAGAGGAGGTTGACCCAGCAGAGTGGCCTTGGAGGCTGCACTGTTGAGCTGCATTGTTCATCAAATTCTGGTAGTCAGGAAACCCCTTCCTGTGAAGATTTCTATGTTTCGTCGTTTGGGGTTGCCATGCTTGGCATTCTTCTGATCATCATACTTCGCCAATTATTTCAAGATCTCGCCAGATACAAAAGTTGCTGCGTAGTTGGGACAAGGAATGGGGAAAAGGATATTTGGATAGACGTTGTTTACACAGAGAGCTGCGAAAAAAAAAGAAGTCACATCTACTGTACATCGTGGAGGACAGAGCAGCTGACAGAGAGAGAAAGAATATGCACCTTTCAGCAGTTTTTGACAGTCTAGCCATCCAGTGGTAACTGCCGTGTTTCAAAACCACTAAAGTCCCATGTAACCTTTTTTTTTTTTTCCCTAGGCCAGAAAAGAAACCTTATTAGTGTTGGTAAAATCCTAGTATACGGTGCAGCCTTGGCGAGATTTTGAAAATTATCGCCAACACCAAAAATGACCCAAAAAACGTCTATGTATATACTATAAACTATATACTATCACTATATGCATAGTATATACTATAACTATATATATTCTTTGAATGACCCATTTACTACTCATCATATATGTCTCATTTTTACTGTTCATCATAAAGTCGCCAAAAGTAGCCAAATCCCGTGTGCACCGGATACTAAGATTAAACCCCAGTGTTTAGGTTCTACTGGCAGCAGTAACGTTTATGTTGTGTTTGACTAATTTTCACTAAAAATGTTCAGTGTATAATTTGAAGTGTTATAAAAATTTCTCCTTCCCGGTGTAAACCGGTGTTGATTGTTTACCTCCAGTAATATCTCCCTTCAGTATACAAAGATAAGTTTGATGTGATTTTAATTATTTCTTATTTTTGCCATTTACAGTGCTTAAAATTTCACATTGTGTTTATTGCAACATTAAAGGAGCACAGCCCTCCACTCATGGTTATGTTAGTAATATTACAAGTATGTTTTATTTTCTCATTTGTTTTTCAGCTAATGATGATAACCAGCCACCACCTTACCAATTGTAACTTTATACTATTAAGTCACCCAAATTAAACGTTAGTTTGCTTTTCTAACTTATTTGTATTGTTTTTAATTTTATTTAAATTTTGACACTGAACCAATATACTCTATTTACTGGGTTTATATTTGTTAACACAATGCACAAATTGTTACTTGATTACACGAATTCTTATTGAATGTGTTATACACTGTTGAGAAATGTTACTGATGTGGAGCATTTATGCACATTTCCCAAATACATATTGGCATAAACATGAATTTTTCCAATTACACAGTAATAATGTTTAGTAGTATCTATTGTAAATGACTTATGTCTTAGTGTTCTATACCTAATATAGAACATTTAACATGTCAACTATTAAATAAACACTCACTGAAATGTCTGGATTGAAAATTCTTTCACATGAATCGTATTTTCTTCATTTGAGGAAACTGACGGGCATCCAGTGTGGGTTTTATGGCCCTCCAAAAATACCTTCTGATAAACTCATCCCCACACGCTTCTTTAACCACTGAAAAAATTTCTACTGCAGACTTGCTCAGTTTCATACACTTTATCATGTACCTTTGATCCAATAAGTGTTGTAGTGTGACTAGTACAAGACACAAAACAAAAATTTATGAAATCACTTGTTTTTCATCTCTGAGAGCTTGGACACATCTCAACAAGCACTCGCTCAATAGTTGACTCACTCCACTGTTCATCCTGGCGGATAGAGTGTGCTCCAATTTACATTTACTTCACAATGAAATGTATGACATTACTTTCTGGACAGACCTTGTACATAACAGATTGTTCATTATTTAATAATAGAGATGCACATCCTAAAAATTATCAGTAAAAAGATATCAACTTTGGATAAAAATTCTTTTATAATTAATCACATTAACAACTATTTTTTTTTCATGTGTAAATTAAAAATTTTTAATTCCTGTAATGGCTAAAACTTACACGGTTTCCCATTTACGACACTCTGAAAAATGTATATGGTCTGTACAACAAATTTAATGCTTTGGAAAGTTTTTTTTTTTTTTTTTTTTTTTTTTTTTGTCTGTCTGTGGATAGCTATAGAAATATTATAAATGCAAATTACTAAGAAATTAATCACTGCAATTCACAATTCTAAAACAATAAAAACCCACAACATGAAATGGGACAGTGAATCCTAGCATTATTTAGTACAATACAAATTGAAATTGCTACCAATTTAATAGCTTCATCATGATCAATATACAATATATACTTTTCCACCGATTGAAGAGCGATTAAAAATAAATCATGATCCCCCCCCCAATACAACATTTAGAAAAACCAGAGTGCTATCTTTTTTCACATATGAAAAAGGTTCCTAGTGAATATATTCAAGTTAAATAGTAATTTTTAAAACACATTTCAAATCTGCAGTTTAGCTATGTTGTAGGCAAATTCATTGACAAAAATGCAGCAACTCCCTTTTTCTGCTTGGAAAAAAACTTACGGTAAAACTTAAAAAAACTCACATAAAGGTAACCTAACCTAATTTTCATTACTTTATTAAACGGATAATTTATTATGGGTTACTTTAGAAGCCAACTACAACGGCTTTAGACTAATATCCATGTTATACAAACATAAAGCAAGTTAATTTCTGAGCAAAAATTATGAAAATCCAGTACTTCCAATTATTACCAAAAAGGCACATGGTAAAGAAGAAGAAAATTCCTTATATTCTCCACACACATACACAGAAGGTGCTACTGTCATGAAATCTAAGTGGTGATGGATTATTGCCCAAAATGTTTAAGTTTGGACACTATTTGAGAGAATCATTAGGTTTATTCATAAGAAAACATCAAAAATCAGCAATGCCTTCACTGGAACTAAACTCTGGACCACTTAATTGCTAGTCTCTTACTTTAGAACAGCTGCTTTAAGCTCGGTATCCTTCCTCTAATGATGGTAAAAACTGCTGTCAAAAAAAGGTCGAATCCTCTAATTCCCCCTGTGTAGTGATGATGGCATATGTTATTATAAATGAGGCATGGGTCATTATAACCTTGAAGTGCCTATATTAAAGTAACACTGCTAAAGCATGCAATAAGAAAAGAGAAAAGTTATTACAAAGCTAGAAAAACCTCACACATCCCGCTTAGTTGGCCACTAAGAACATTAAACCTAGCATCAATTATAAGCATCTGTTGGTCTCCCTATTCAGCACTCATTTTTCATTTTAAAACATACAACAATTTGATGCATAATTATTGAAGAATGGAAACATAACTACCCCAAAATTCTGTTCGTGTTTTTCAAATATAGCATTATATCCCTTGAAAATAACCCTTGAATTAAACACCTTAAATTTTAAATAATCTTAAAATTTTATGTGCATTATTTCAAAAAATGAAAGTGGTAAAGAATTTAACTATTTGCTAGAAATACGCTTTGCATACACAGAAGTTCACAAGAGCATTTTTTTTTTTTTTTTTTTTTTACAGGCTTATAAGTGCTTCATTTCTAATGCTAAGAATGATATTATTGAAATGCACGTGAATTACAACCCATTATAGTTTCCATCAATATTTTCTTTTTTAATTGTAGTTTTATTATTACATATTAACTACTAATTCAGCAAAAATTTAAAAAATAATAATTAACTATTAAATTACTCAATAGCAATTACTTAAAATGTTCACTAAGTGAATTGAAATTAGAAATATGTTCTTGAAAATAGTAAGAGTAATTAGTATAAAAAAGAGAAATTAAAATGATGTAAAAATAAGTTTTATATTAAAAATGTTTAATACACTTAGAGCACTTTCACACTAGCATATGAAAGAATTACAAGTAAAGATTTTATTTATTCCAAATATTAAGCTAATATTCTATGAAAACCATGATTAAAGGATATAGCAAAATAAAATCAGGATTAATAATAATTTTAGCAATCATAGCTTTCATATGCAATAATGTATAGAAAAATGTTAGCATAAAAACTGATCAACAATATTACCTTGATGATGACCTCCAAGATCAAATGTTGTAAATCGCATATTGCCTATAGCTAATTCTTCTGAAGCTATAAATATTAAAATGTTAAAATTATTATTTTCATTTATTAATTATCAAAAATATTTACTTTATTTGAGACAGCCTTATATTTTATTTTGGAATAAGGCATAGTTTAAAGAGTGTTGCTACATAAAAAGTAACAGTTGGTGGTTCTTTCCAGTTACAGATATACCATGCATTTTTGGTACTAAACTGGTGCATATTGATCTATTTGTTTCCTCATACATTTGACTTGATGCTAAATGGAATCCCTAACGCCTTTTTATTATATTTTTCAAAATTTTAACTTTTTAGCAAATTTCTGTTATGAATTGTTTTTTTCTTTTGTTTTTGTTGATTTCATATCTGACCCTTCCTTTCAAAAAGAGGATAAACATGAAACAGAAGCAAATACAAGACAGGCAGCTACTAGAATGCACTGTAACTGTTACGGATTTAGTTACCTGTGGTTCACAACAGAGGAAGAAACCCCTTTGAACTTTTTAAAATGTATGCTAGGTGATAAGCAATCTATTGCCAAATATGAAACTGCCACTGAAACAAGCTAAGCAACACATTCCTATAGCATAGACTCCAACCTTCAGCAAACCTTGTCAGTAGTCAACGCGCGAACGACATTTTTACAACTTTGAAAATGTGCACGTAGCGTATGTTGTAATTAACCATTCATTAACTTTAAATTAATAATTAATTGTAATTAATTTTATTACATTTAAAATCCATATACATATAAAACTGAATAATTAAAAATATACCTTGTAAATTATATGCACATTTAATTAGAAATTTTCTTTTAACTCCTCAAGCATTCACTAATAAAAAGTACTTCAAATCACTACTAATCATAGAAAAAATCAGAAGCTATAAATCATATCTTTATTCTGGATATGATTTCTACAGGGAAATAAAATTTAAATAACCAAGAATGATACATATAAGTATTAAACAAAATACGCATAATTTATGAATGCAAAGATTTATATGTAGCATGCTTAGCAAGCTTAAGTTCTGATTTTGAGAATGTTTTTTTATAACACAGTTCTTCATTTGCCTGCATATTTATTTTTTCAATCAAAACTGCTTCAAGAGTTTTAAGACCTAAATTTGGTCGAAATTCCGTCTGATTTTTTTTAACAATAGAAAAAATTCTTTCGCAAGCTGCATTTGAATGAGGTATTATTAAGATAGCAAGCATTACAGAAGGCAATACTTTATATTTAATACACCCATTCATATTTTTTAATTTGGCAATTTCTCCCCATGCTATATCAATACGCAAATCTACAATTTCTTTCAAATCATCTACTTGATACATGGAAAATTCAATTTCTACTTGATTAAGACATTTTTCATCAATAATGGATGGAAAAGTATTCATCAAGTAAAGAACAGATGAAAATGAGACTTCAGTTCTCAAGTTGATGTCAGCAACTTCAGCATGTTTTAGAAATGGATCACTCAGTGGAAATTTATCAATTATATATGAACATGCAGTTACAAAAAAAAGCTCGCACAGAATTGAAAAATGATTTCACTTCACTTTCATTCAACTTAGCTTTTTATAAATATAGTCTTGTTTCCCACACCAATTATTAAATTTTCATTTTCTTTTTCTTTACTATACTTCTGAAATGGAATAGATGTTGGAGCAAAATCTTCATTTTCTTTAGAAATTACTGATGATTTTACGAATCTAACAAATAAATTCATTAAAAGTTCAAAAAGTTCTCTTCTCAATTTATGTATATGAAGGAGCTTGTTGTTGCAAATTAATATTTACTGTTATAAACAAAGGCAAAGTATTTTTCAAAAATAACAAGTACAATTTGGTGGTCGGTGACTTGTAAATTTTTTTTTAATGTTTTTGCAATCTCTTTCCTTCATTCTCACTGTTATCTGGTTGATCTCCAAAAAATTTAATCACAGCATCCCACTGTTCCAAAATCCTTGTTATAGATTCTAAAAGAGACAACCATCTCGTACTGCAATATTTCAAAATTTTATGAGATTTTGCATTCTGTCCCAAAATTTGTTGAGCAACTTTGAAGCTATGCTTCCGTTTCGAACTTTTCTCCAAGTAAAAATATATATCTATTATCAACATTTCAATTTCTGAGCCAATTAATTTTTCAGTAGCTTTTCTTGCAGCTATATGCAAGAGGTGGCACGGACAACCTCGGGTGATTATACTTGGTTGATGCATTTTGATAAATGATGCTACACCTTTAAACTTTCCAATCATATTACTAGCATTATCTGAAGAAAATGATAAGCAATTTTTCCATTCTAAACCTTTGTTTTTAAAGTTTTCATTTATACAATTAAAAATACCTTCTCCTGTATTATCCGTGCATTCTAAAATAGAAATCAATGAAGTAATTATCACTCCCTTTTCTTTACTGTAGTATGTTATAACCAATGGGTACAGTTTGTTATCATTGTTATCATTACTTCCATCAGTACTTAGAGAAAATAATGTACTGCACACTGATTTTATAATATCAGCAACAGTATTTTCTGCAAGCGTTTTCACAATAGCAGCAGTTTTGGTATGACCGCAGCTAAATTTTTTTGCTATGGCAGAATCCGGAAACATTGCTTTGAAAAGCTCTTTGTAACGAGAAAGCGGTAGATTATGTTCAATTAAAAAACGAACAAAATAGCATTCGGCTTTTATAGGATCTGTTTCATCATCTTTTATTAAGAAATTTGTTATTTCTTTAGATTTTACGGTGCCAAGTTCTATATGCTTTTGAGAAAACACATGCCGTTTACAGTCATCTTTTCCGCCATGAGCAACTGAGAAGTCTTTGTTGCATACACTGCAGTGTGCATGATTCACAGAAATTTCGGACGCTTTAATGCATGGAAATTCTGAAGAATATGAATCTTTAAACTTCTGCTTTGATAATTTTGGCTTCTTCGTTCGAGGCAGCATTATGATTAAAAATCTTTCACCTGATTCACAGTTCACAAGACACACGCTAAGCTCTCGCCATAAACTACACAATGCAGCCGAATGCAGCCTAAACACGCATCAGCGAGGAACCTGGGAGACAGACAATTGGGTGGAACTATTGATAAGTCGTTAATGGTTGGAGTTACTGATCTACGATTGGCTAATTCTTCAAAACTAGGAACGCACTCAACACGTGATATATGATAACACGAGTATTCAGCCAATCATCGGATGAATTAGTTGGTTCCGTTTTGCGTACTGGTTCTCCTGCTCGTTTCTGTAAAATCCGTAGTTTTTTCCATACTTTTCGTAGCTCGTAGTTTTTCATGAATTTTTGTAGAAACTACGGAGAATCCGTAGTAGTTGGAGTCTATGCTATAGCAATGAACAAAATATGCTCATGCATACAGTTTCCTAATGGATGCAACTAAATGGGATGAGGGATAAAATGCTCAAATTTTAAAATCTCCTGTATGTTCTTAAGTTACAGGCTGCTCCTCAAAATTGAGCTTTTCTTAATAAATATATCACACCATGACAGCTATACAAATTTCAGCAGATTACAACAGTTCTGCTTCTTCTTCCACCCTTACATATCAATTTGCCTGTTAAATTTCTCTCAGCTCTGCTTTTAACTAATAGCCTGTTTTCACCTGAGATATTCTATTACTGCTCTTGCACTTAAACTATAATTTATGTTACAATGACTTTCAAGCATAAGAATAGTGCATCTAAACTTGAGAGGCCATGAAGGGAAAAGTAAAAATTTTGCACTGTTGTTATTATTACAATTATGATGCAATATAATGCCCAGTATATTTTATTAATATTATATACTGGCAGCCGTCTGGCTTTTAAATATACCGGAAAAATGGCTGAAGAGAACACCAAACGTTAAATTTAAAAACTGCATAGAATTTTACTCTGCAGAACAACTCCATAAAAAAAAGTTATTACGTATAACAAAATTACAATGAAATAAGCAATATCCCTTAATACAAATATTAATTATCATAATAAATAAATTAACCAACTTCCCTTTGCAAAATCTTAAGAACTCAAATGGTATAAAGGAGGTTAAAAACTTTGTTTCCTAAAAAAATGACTCAAAACTTTTCCATATCTTAAAAACAGTGAAATGAGCAATAAATAACATAAAAGAATACAAAAAAAAAAAAAAAAAAAAAAAAAAAAAAAAAATTCTGAAAAAAAGTATAATTAATGATATTTTATCTTATATTTTCAAGAGAAAAAAATTAGGTTCTACTTTGGTAGACAGTTGCATGGATTTTTGGCGATTTACATTGACGCAATTGTTGGCGCGGTTTTTATAGTCATCATCCATCTTGAAAAATGCTGTTTTTGTGTATTTTACGCATATAGTAAAGTATTAGAAACTTTAAAAAAATAAATATCGTTAAAAATAATGAATTAATTTTTTGTTGAAAACGTTGTTTTTTAAGATGGCTGGCAAAAGTAAAGAAATATATTTACTAAGAGTATAAAATGCTAAAGTAAGATTAAATTATTACTTTCATATGATAGAATAAAAACACCGCTATAAAAACATTGCGCCAACATTTAATTGGATTAAAATATTGCTTAAATTGAATATTGAATTAAAAACATCATACCAGCGTTTAAAAGAATTAAAATATTACTTAAATACTTTAAAATAAGTTTTATAGGATTTAATTATTTAACATTAAAACATATGTAACAATAAATATCTCGGGAATTTTTGAAAATATTGTACTATTAATTTTTTAATGAAAGTTGAAGTATACAATTATAAAGTAAAAGAAAAATATGTACTTACATTTTTTTTTTAAAGTAGTTTTTAACCTCTTGTATTATTGATAAGTACCACAAAAATCGAAATCATAATTGATTCGGCTCTTTTAACGATCTTCATCTGCGATCCACATATCTCGCACTTCATTGGAGAAGCAATTAGCGAGGTTTTCCTCCAAAAATTTAAAATAAATTTTCCTCTGACGCTATTAACAATTTATAAATAAATCTTTGATTAGGAAAGCCAGGTTGGG